AAATCTTCCTATGTTAGATCAAATATTCTTGAAGGAACTATTATTTAAAGAGCTTGAAGAGATCATCATTAGCACTATGTTTCTAGAAGTGAATTATATTCTTATGTACAAAGATGTAATAGAGTTTGAAAATGTTAATGAGATGAATGAATGGCCAAGTGAGAAGGAGGATCAACTAATTGCGAACATATTAGGTGGCAACTGGCTTGAAGATTATCTAATGTTCTATGCTGAATTCCTCCAAAGATTCAGGAAGAATAGTGAAAAGTTGAATGAAAAGAGTCCAATAAAGATCAAGAGTTTTGATAAAAAGAAGTTTTGGAATGGTTGAATATTTGTCTTCTATGTTGTAAGAGAAGACAATTCATAAGGTGTTATCACAAATGCAGACTTGCATAACTTAAGATTTGAAGACTAGATGTTCCTACTTAATAATTGTGAAAAAGTAGATGAGCTTGTGTTTGAAGTTGAAATTAGAAGGATCATGGGAATATATATAAGAAATCTGTCGTTATATGAATTTCAATTGACACTTGATAGAAAGTTGAAAGAGATCAATCTAAAGGAGGCCAAGTTCGACACAAATGATGTAATTGACGTAAATAGCTTTGTATTTTATCCAGAGATTGGTTTTTCCTTTAGAAATCCAAATTCTTTCTGTATAGTCTTTTCAGAGTTGAAGAAATTCCCAAATTTTCCAATGCTACGCTGGAGTGGTTCCTTAAGCAAATAAAGCTGCAAATTTATGGTGATTTGGTGATCAAGTCTGAGATGATCAAGCAGATCTCAGAAAGATTAAAGCTCACATATTTAGTCTCTAAATGTTTCAAAGTCTGTATAAAAAAAGAACATAAAAAGAAAGCCTATCCAAATGATTTGGATTTTCCATTTGAATTCTTTATTCATGTTGATCTTGTTAAAATAATAAAGCTCCAAGAAAGTGCTGAGAAAAAAATTATTGATATGTGGTAATTGATGAGATGGAGATAGACATAGAGAAAGTTATTGAAGAGCCCTCAGAGTCAGAGAATCCAAATGATGAAATGATTGTTCTTAAAAAGAAAGAAGAAATTGAAGAAGAGTTTGAGCAAATTGATTCAAATGAATGGTTTTTAGAGTTTAGATTCATAAACTTATTCAAGACTGAAGAAAACTATAAGGTGCTGAATTATTTGGATACATTTGAAACAAAGTCTAAAGGTTTCAATTCAAACTATTGGGATTTCTTGGATAGAATTGATATAATTAAGAATATGTGTACTCTGATTTGGATTTTCCTGATACCCTTCATTTCATTGGATTTAATATGATTGTTAAGTCTATTTCTAATATGTAATTTAGTACGTTAGGCCTTCACCATTTTTATATACACATACTTTAAATCTCTTATCGTCTCTGTATACCTCCTACATTGTTGTCATATATATGTTTAGTAAATATGGCCATATATATTTAAATTAAAAAAAAAAGTAAAATTCACTTTTGGTCCCTAACGTTTGTCAATTTCAATGATTTTCGTCCTCAACTTTATTTTAATAGATTTGTCCCTCTTGTTTGACACATCACAATGATTTTCGTATCTCTCTTAATAGCTGTTAATTTTCACCGTTAAATCCAGTTAAATGAGGGGTAGTTTGGTCATTTTATGTATTTTCTTATTTTTCTATTAAAAATAAATTTATATATAATATATGTATATACATGTGAACACCTTCTCCCCCAAATAATAAAGTTGTCGGCAAGTTCAATCTCATCTCCGGCCAGATATAAAACCTCCACGGTCACTGGTCATTATCATCTACGGCCATATCTAAAGCCTCATCTTTCATCCATATCTCTTTCCAAACATCATCTCCATCTTCGTTAGGTACTAAAGAGAAACCATAAGTAATATCGGTGCAAAGGTGCTTCTGGTTCTATTAGTGACATTGATGGGGAAATAAGGGGATGGGGTTTTGGTCACCGACAAGAAAAGGGGGTTCTGGTCAGAAATGTAATTTACTATAAAACACCAAAACCACCATCGTCGTTTTCATCGTTAGTTTACACCAAAACCACCACCATCACTTTCATCCTTGGTCAACATCACCAAAACCACCACTGTTCGTGACATCAATGGGGAAACAAGGGGATGAGGTTTCTAATTCAATACATGACTTCAACGGGGAACATAGGGATAAAGTTTTTGGGTTCAATAGATGTTTAACTTTTAGGGTTTTGATTTTGGGAAGATCTCAACTCCTACTAAACGCCGCCCTCACCCAACCCCTCCGTCTCTATTCCATCGTGAACGTTCCACCATTGCCACCAGAAATGGAATTCAATGGGGGCTGCGACTAGGATTTCACATCATAAATCTATTTCATGGTAGAACTAGATATGTAACTCGATTTCTACACAATGGAACTTGATTTCACCTCTAAGATGGTAATCAACTTCTATTTAGGTTTTTGATTTGAGTTTTCGTGATTAAGTTAGGGTTTGGGGTTGACTTTAAGTTTTGTATTTTGGATTTGGGTTTGACTTTGATTTTGAAGTTTGGCTTTGGATCTGGATTTGATTTTGATTTTGAGGTTTAGATTTGGGTTTGCTTTTGAGTTTTTGGTGTGTGTTTTTGTTTTATGTTTTGTGGAGACCCGATATACGAAGAAGATGATCGAAGAAGGCGAAGGTGGATGACAAATGTAAAATGACTAAAATACCTTCGTTTTAATTGGATTTAACGAAAACAGTTAAAGGTCATTAGGATGAGGGACGAAAAGCATTGCTAGATGTCAAAACGTGAGGGACAAATATGTTAAAACAAAGTTGAGGGACGAAAACCATTGAAATAACAAACGTTGGGGACCAAAAGTGAACTTTACTCTTAAAAGAATAGTTGAATATGATCAACTTAAAAAGGATTATGGATAAGCTACACCAATTAATGGATAATAAATAAATAAATTATAAGTAGAAAAAAGCACCATATTCGAGGTAACAAACATGAGAAATAATATTATGTTGTACAAAAATTTCAACCCAATCCAACACGCACGATTTTTGATGGGTTGATAATTTTCAAACTGCAAACATTAAGTTGGTTGTTCAAATTCCTCTAACCCAATCAACCCAACCATGTTCACCCCTATGTGTCCTGCCTTGCATATTAACTAACAACTTTGCATAGTTACAATGTTTAGGGGATCAAGATAGGTGCATCGGCATACCCAAATGATTGTTTAGCCAATGGCGGATTTCGAGCCTAACAGTATGATCGGAAGTCCGGACAAGACTTCTCTTGAGATCTGAGTCGTGATAGATAAACACAAACAACAAGCGACGAGATCTTGAAAGAAGCTTTTTCATATTAATACCGCATTGGCCCTTTGGTTGGGCATAGGTGCCTAGTTGTTTCAATGGTAGGGGGGGCAGGGGGATTGATGACCCATTTTATTAACAATAAACGTTTTTTACTTGACGTTATGGCTAAACCTCTTTTTGTTTGGCCCAACATTGATTGAAAGAGTACTTCGTGAGGCCTAAATAGATTGATGATTCATCAATGGGCACATGCCAATTCAAAAAGTGCCCAATCGGGCAAATCGTAGGTTCCCATTTCTTTTTTTATGACTTTATCTACTTGAAATGCTTACCTTGACTTGATTAAGGTAAGTTAATGTAACGAACAACCCAAACGCAAGCAAGCTTGGTCACCCAACGTCCTCAAATCATTTAATGTCACATGTCAGTTGCAACTAATAGATCTTGGTCATTAGTTTGGCGGTCTTAAGATTGGTTAGGGTGGGGGCTACATATATCTCAAGAGAGACAACTACTACACGAAGCCGCATCTTCAACTGAGGTCTTCTCGCGCCCTGTCGAGGCCTGGCCCTTTAAAAATCCATAATATTCTCAACGATAGTGATATGATTAAAATAAAAGTATTATTGATTGTATCTTATATAAACTCTTTGTAACAACAAACTATTATCAGTAAATTTAAATTATCACGCCTCTAGTGCGTAGCTCAAATGACAAACGGGTAAAATGACTTTATCTAAATACAAGACAGGTCTTTCAGGTTCGATCCAGGCATTTGTTAGCCTCAACCGTCGAGTAAGCCAAAAACTATCCCCTCACATTAGTGTCTTTGAAGACGAGATTCATGTAAAGTCAGTCAGGATTATTGGTAATCAACTTTTTGTCCAAATATATACATATTATCCTTTTACAAAAATATATTCATCATTTTACAATATTTATTACTAGTTAAGAACTTACCAATGTTCTAAAAAACATGTCTTACCGCTACGTTAACCCCCTTAGTGTGGATATAAGGCGGGCCATGGCACGTTATGACATTATGAGACGTGAGAGAAAATTTGCAATTGTTAAAATTTGAATAGAAGTAAATGTAAATATAACTTTATAGTTTATACATGTCAAATACTCGATCAATAAAATGGGGAAAGAACCCCTAAATTACTTTTCAGTATACGAAAAATATTGTTCGATTACTTTGATTTTGCTGTTTGAGTACCAAACACCGACTTACTAAGTATATTTGTTATCATTTTTGTAAACTCTATATATTTGATACCAAATTATCACTTCATGGTTCTTATTTTGTTTATCATTTTATATGAATTTAAATTGTTAATAACTTGATCATTTATTGTTTAAGACACTGATATAACACACATACATGCATATATTATAATAGATTTATCGCCTTAAATTATGTCTTGAAAAAAGACCATAGCCTCATCGTAACTTGTTCGGTTTAAAAGCTTGACAAATCTTCCCCCATTGTCCATTGAAGGGACTTTTATTGAGTAATTCTATCCCTTCTTCATTCCCTAGTTTTGATCTAATGAGTACATAGGTAACAACTTCACGCCGATTAAAACCTTGGAAATTACCATCTCATTTTAATTTAGTACGAGTTCTAAAAAAGAGTTACAAACAACCCCTTAAAAGCATTTCTCTCTATCTCGTATAAGGGAGCAGGGGACGACCGTCTTTCACCAAGCTCTCTATCTCGTCTTCCTGCCATGCCGTAACTCACCCTACACCGGAGACAGCAAAACCCTAATACCATTTTCCTTCAAACATTCTTACACCTTTTGGCAAATCCTAATTTCTCTCTAGGGTTTGAATTCACCGACTGCTAAGGATGATGTACAATGATCCTCAACAGCAGCAGCAACCACAGCAGCAGCAGCAACAGCCAATATATCAGCAACACCCTCCTCCACCACCGCCACAACAGCAAATGATGCAGCAACATCAACATCACCAGCACCACCACCAACAGCAGCCACCACCGCATCAATTTCACCAGCCGCAGCAAATGGGAGAGTTTCAGAGGGGTCCGCCGCCGCAGCAGCATCAACAACAACCACAGCCACCGCCGCCGCAGATGATGCGTCAGCCTTCTGCTTCTTCCACCACTCTTGGTGGTTCTCAAGAGTATCACCAACAGCTTGCTCATCCTCCTTTCGACGGTAAGCTTAATTAACCCTACAACCCAGCAAGTTGTATTCTTATTTTGGTAACTTATGTATGCTTTCATTTGAAATTCTACATGTATATATAGCATTTAGCCAAGTTTTACGGGTTTTTTTTCATATGTTTCTGTCTTGTGTATAACTGTAAATAGACATACACTCTTAGAAGACACCTTTATTTCTACTTTAGCCCACCAAATCCTAGACATCGAGGTGCAAATACTGTAACAGAGGAACATAATACAATGAGAGTACATGCTACCAAATGGAGAACTAATAAGCATGGAGATACATTGTAATTTGCAAATTTTACAAGTTTACATTGGCTAATGTGAGATATTATGATCAATACTGATGAAACTGATAACATTGGTTGTTACTTTGTTAGAAAAAGCATCAAGTGTGCACATTGATGTATACACTCCAACTATTGTAGAAGTAAAACCAAGATTTGGAACTTGAAAAGGTGGCACTTTTCAGCTTTAGACCACATCCTTGGAATGTTTTGTTTTCTCCCATGTAAGGATCACCAACAAAACAAGGCCTTTGTACTATCCAAAAATGCAAGTGGAAACTGCCCCCGTCTCCTAAGATTTTGGCAGTAGGGGTGGCATCCAAATGGAATTTTCTACCTTTCGATGCTAGGAATTTCAGCTTCTTCCTTGCCATATAAATTAACACCTTAAACTTTCTAATTAATGCCTCCTCCATCCATAGCAGTCATAGTGTGCGCCATGCTGTGAGATTTGCCCTTGTCTCCTTGTCATGATGTTTGGCAAAAGATTGGGATGACTTGTGCCATTCCCTTACAGCATATGGCATGGGCTTAAAAAATTGAACATTCTTGGGATGATTTCTTTAATTCTTTGTATTCACTCTAAAGCCCATTGCCCAAATCGATGATTTGACCTGAAAACTAAATTAAAACAACATATCCATAAAGAAGTTCAACTGAAGAGTTTGCTCTTAAAAATATCAAGAATCTTTTAGCTGTAATTGTCATTTAGCCTTTTATTTTTTACTTTTAACTTTTTATTCTGCTGTAATTACTTATTTTTGTTTATTTGTTTGGTTGTCTTTTTTGTCTTCTATTTTCTTCTGTTAAGACAAACGACTGTTCATTTAGGTAAACTTGATATTTGTTTTAACTTTTACTTTGCTGTTAAGTGTTTAAATTTTGTTGTTGAAATAAAATATATGTTGTCTTTTACTTTTGTTATGTTAGTTTAAAATGACCTATTGTGTTCGAATATCATACTTGCATAGTTTTTAATTTTTTCGAAGTTGGAAAATGGTGTCGCATTGGCTTTAATTTGTGTCTGCACCGTCATTGTCCATGCTATGCCTCGCTCTCACCATAAGGGGCTAACTTGATTTTTGAGTGATGAAACTTAATAGTACACAGGGTAATTTTGTGTGTGATATTTTATGCTTTTAACAAAATTGAAAACTATTTTTCTAATGCAATATAGTTTACTGTAGTTATCAGTTTTGCTTAATCAAAGTAAAAAAAAATTCATAGTTAATCTTTTGACGCGTTAACAGTTAATTTAGGATAATTACTGTGAAATGGAGGGCGTATATATAAAGTTGTCAATTTGCATTTGTTGAATGCTAATTCCTTTGTGTAAATACAAAATCTGTGCAGCCCATGCCGACAATTTTGCTGCCAAAAGAATGAGAAAAATTGGACAGCGAAGAGCTGTTGATTATACGAGCACTGTTGTGCGATATATGCAGGTAATATTGTTGTAGATAGCCCTGTTGCTTTTCTTGTTAATGGATGATGTACGTCGTATATTGCCTCCAAGTAGATTATTTGTTTTAGATTGGGAATATATAGTTACTGATGTGATCTGTGTATGAAACTAAGGGCCTGTTTGTTAGTACTTGTGCAAGGCTTCTATTAGAAATTACTGTAGTTGGAGTATTCCAGTTCAAAATTATGCTCCCTCATAAAATACGATGTTTGTATTTATATATGTTAAATATATCTCAAGTGTCTGACCTCATGTTTTCCTTACTCCATTGACTACCACGGTGCCAAGGGTGTGGTGTTAAAATTGATGATTAGCATGCCATTATCATTTATCATAAGAGGATGAAGATCTTAATGCGGATGCTAGTCATAGGATGAAATCTCCCGTCATTGTTCCTATGTAACCATAAAAATTCCATGGAGTAGAAGGACAAGTACTACAGGATGACAATTAGGCCTGGTATGCTCTATTGTTCAGAATGTTGACTAGAAAGAGACAACAAATACACTAGATGAGTTTAACACACATGTGAATGTGATATGGATATCTGGCCACACAAAGATTGATGTAGATTAGAGATGAGTATATTGATAAGGCCAGTTTGTCAGCCTCCAACATAGTCATAGGCTGCTAATAATTGGTTTGTTCTTCTCTCATATGGTGCAACCAATGGTTTGTCTTTCATGCACATTCTTTTGAATCACCAGTGAACCACACTTCCTGCTGTTTACTGAATTCAAACTATGTTCCTCTCTTCGGATTTTTCATGGGAGTCTGATTTCTTATAATTCACATGCTAATGATCTTCCATTGGAATTTCAATTTGATCTGTTATATTCTCATGTAAATCTTTATGCAGACCCGTTTATGGCAACGAGATGCATGGGACAGGACAGTATTACAACCGACTCCTGCTGCAGCAATCGATGTCAGTCAGCACTCTTTGTATTCACAGCATTTACATCTCTGCATATGATTTAAATTGACCAATTTACAATGAAGTGATTGTATTTATACCTTCACATGAATGGGAGACAATAGTAGATGTCAAAATCATCTTTCAGTTGATTGCCTGTCCTATGCATCAATAGATGTGCTATAGGTTATGCTAATTTGAACATGTTTTCTTGTTGATCCTGGAGACAGATGTTACCAACGGTTGCCTATTCAGATAATCCATCCACCAGCTTTGCTGCAAAGTTCGTGCATACATCACTAAACAAAAACCGCTGTTCAATCAATCGTGTACTGGTGAGGCTTTCTGGCCAATTTCTCCTAATATAGTGCTTGTATGCATCATACAACTGTATGTGCCTTCTAAATTTCTTTTCTTTTTCATACAACTATACTGGCCAAGTCCTAGACTCGAGTCATGACATTGGTGGAATTGGAATCCATCAAAGGAATTTGATTTTGAAGGAATTGGAATCGAATTTGAGCAAGCATTTGGTTGATAGGAATTGAAATGGAATCTCGCAAAAGAATAGAAATATGCATCTATCGGGGGTGGGGATGACAGTTGTGACGACGACAATAGTGGTATGGTGGTGTTGGGGGTAGGTGGGGTGGGGTGGCGACTATGATGGCAAAAAATAATGGCGTGGTGGTGATGATAGGGGTGGGGATGGTGGGTGGGGGTGGCAACAGTGGCCAGAATGATAATACTAATTGATGGTGATGGTGGTGGTGGCGGCAACAGTGGCGGTGGTCGGGGCGGGGTGGTGGTTAAATCGGATGCAAAGATTATTTTTGTCATTCTTGAACAAAATTATAAATTATGTTACATTTGCCACGAAATGGAATTGAAATACTTCACATATGCTAAGGAATGATCAAATTTCCACACCATGGAATCCGGTGGAATCCAATTAATTCATTCCGCAAACCAAAAATCATCAAAGAATCTGTCATTCCAATTCCATCAAATTCCATTGAATTCCGGCAACCAAATAGCCCCTTTGAGTTCTTATTTTGTTATACATGCCTTTACTCTTGCTCTGGTGCTACTTCTTGATTAGAAAACATACTATGAAGTCTTGCAAAAAGCATTACAATTAACATCATTATATTTTGTGCATGTTGATGTGGATAATATTATTGTACCTTGTACGATTGAGACCCCTCTCACTAAAGTAATTACGAAAACCATGCCGATAGTGTTTTACAGTCTAGGTGGACCTGGAAAGAGTGTCTTGTTGCAGATTTTCTTCAACAGAATTTTTGGAAAAAAGATGCTAGTGGAGTCTGGTCTTCTGGTTGTTAAAGTCATTTTAAGTTGTTTCATTGCTTATTAATCTTGTGCTTGTCTCGTACTTCCATCAATCTGGGAGGGCATCAAGGGTTGTAGCTCAAAGCATCATTATCCAACCCCTATATGCTTTGAAGCTCTTTAAGACTAGTCTATTGGTTTCTTATACAGCTTATCACCATCTGGTTGATCATAATGAGAAGGAAAAATGTTTGGAAGTAAATTTTATTATAGTTCTAAGGGAGGGGATAATGGTTGATAGGGAGCAACTTTTGACCTTCAATGCTTGAAGGAAGTACTTGGCACCTGATTATGAATATGCCACTGTATGGTTGCAAAACGTGGTTCTTGATACTGTTGTTATCAGGATTTAATAGGAAAGTCGGATCGAATGAGTTTTGATGTCTTAGATGTACTTTTTTTTGGTTCAACGTTTAGCCCACTTTGCGTAGGCTCTCACCCAACCTAGGGATGAGGTCTGTTTATGCTTTGCTGGTCCTTGAATCCTTGATAGATATGAATCTTTCAAGAAGCTTTTATCATCATCACCTCTTTGTTTGATTTGTCATCTAAATATAGAATATTAGAGGCATTAGTTGTTCTCATTATGCTGCTGCAGATGAATTCTTGTTTCCTTACTAGAAAGAAGCATTAACATAATCGAGTAAGTAAACAGATTGAACTATATCACAAAAGCTGCCAAATAGTGGTCTCCATGGATAAAGAAATGCCTCAGAAATGGTTCATGACTTGTTTCTATGGAAGATCACGACCGACTATCATTTGAACTACGACTATCACGACCTACTATCATGATGAAACCTTTTTGTTCTTATAATATCTCTTGTCAGTGGCAGACAGATAATATAAGAATTTGTCTCTTTCTTGCTCTCCCTTAGCAATGAACACAGGCGAAGTCAAGAAAAGGACTTTAAATACAATATACGACTTACTTGGATGCATTACCTTTTCTGATTATGTTTGATCCGAGTGAATCTCAGGGGAAACATTAGAATGAAGCCTCTTCCACTGAAATTGAATTGTATTATTCTTACTGTGTCCTGACATATGTATTTGTTTGAAGTGGACTCCTACTGGTAGGCGTCTTATAACTGGTTCACACAGTGGGGAGTTCACATTATGGAATGGTCAATCTTTCAATTTCGAAATGATTCTGCAGGTATGCAAATCGATTTTTTTTGCCAGCTCTTTTGTTAAGAGGAACTGCTGAGATTTGTTGGAATATGTAAATGTACAGGCTCATGATCAACCAATCAGGTCTATGGTATGGAGTTACAATGACAATTGGATGGTCACTGGTGATGATGGAGGCTCTATAAAGTAACTAAATTTCTTTGTGTGTAGTTTTATTGCAGTAGCTTAATTTTTTTTTGGGATGACTTCTTCAGCAAATTTTCTATTTTCACTTTTGGAATACATGGAATATGTATCTGCCCTTTAGCAATATCAAACATTATGGTTTAATGCTTACAAGGTGCTGATATATACAAACAACTTTTAGGCTAATTTCTGCCAAAAGATTTTTTCTGTTTGTTCCCTTTTAAGTTGTGAATTTGATATTCTTGTGGTGGATGCAGGTACTGGCAAAACAACATGAACAACGTGAAAGCTAATAAATCTGCACACAAGGAATCTGTCCGTGACCTAAGGTATAATATATTTGGAGTAGGGTTGATAAGGAATTGTGAATCCTGTAATTTTTAGTATATGCTGCAACTACATGGTTCCATTGCACCCGTTTGCTTTCCCGTTGCCCAGCCAAGTTGTTAGTCTCCCATTTGTTAAAATGATAACATTCTACTTCTTTACAGCTTTTGTAGAACAGATTTAAAGTTCTGTTCCTGCTCTGATGACACAACTGTTAAAGTTTGGGACTTTGCTCGTTGCCAGGAGGAGCGTTCTTTATCCGGTAATGTTTTGTAGAATATTTATTATGTTAGTTACTGAAGTTCTTGCACACACTGGGATCAGGCTTTTCCTTTTGTAAACTGTATGAGGGTGTGGAAAAAGTGGTTGCTCAGAGAAAAAGGAAGGGTCAAACTACACTTTCTGATGGAGAGGAGAAATTACTAGCTTTTTGGGTTTTAAAATATCATAAGTACACATTGGGGAACTTGGGTTTTGACTCTTAGTTTTTAAAATAGAAAAAGACTCTTAGACTATAAAGAGAAGTACTACTACTACTACCATAAGGCTTATAAAAAAAAAGCCTAAAAACCATTACCAAAGCTGTACGCATCGATACTGCCTTACGCCTCCCTGAACCAAGGCGTAAGCCTCATCCAGGATCCAAGAGGCGCCACGTCAGGTGTTGATTTGGCCCCCCTCGCCTCTAACACTTTGTAAAACCATGGATAGAGGAAATGAATTACTTTTTGCCGTGGGATAGTCAACCCTGCTCCCCTTTTCCTGGAATGAAGTATCAAACCAGTATCTACTTCAATTTCCTAATTTCAAAGATATATTAAAATCTTGAGCTCATAGTTGTTCTAATATGGTTTCTAATTACTTTTCTCTTATTTGCTTTAAATATTTAAAATAAGGTCAATTGCAACTGTCAAATGTACATGAGATAACCTGAGTCTTCTAATATGTGGCTTTAACTCAGGCAGGCCATGGTTGGGATGTGAAGAGTGTTGACTGGCACCCTACCAAGTCTTTACTAGTTTCAGGTATGCAATTTGATTTCCTCTTTGTTCGCCTTCTCTCGCCTTCTCTTCTTGAACATGTTGAGTTGATAAAGATAATTAAGTTTTGTGTGATATATGTCATTTGTGTTGGTTATGTTAGGTGGGAAAGACAATCTTGTGAAGCTTTGGGATGCTAAATCTGGGAGAGAGCTATGTTCATTGTTAGTGCAAATGTTATGTTATGCCATATATTGTTCTTTGTACTTCCTTGAGGTCATAAGCAGTTGACTTTACATTTGTAGTCATGGGCACAAGAATACTGTTCTTTGCGTCAAATGGAATCAAAATGGTAATTGGGTGTTAACTGCATCTAAGGATCAAATTATCAAGGTGCAGCTTCTTGTCTACCTATAATGCTACCTTCTCATCTATTACTATGTTTAAAACATCCCTAATTATTGAACAAACTACTTTCTCAGCTATATGACATTAGAGCTATGAAAGAACTACAATCATTTCGTGGTCATCGGAAGGACGTCACTGGTGAGTGCAATATTGGATGTTTGCATGCACTTAGTTTCGTTTTAGCTCTGTTTGCAATATGGAATGTGAAAACAACACTTGGTTTTCTAATGTTGCAATATATAATTTTGTGGATACCATTTCTATTGCAAAGTATCACCCTGACCAATTGTAAATGAAAACAAGGAAAATATTCTATGGGACTTTTTTGGTATCACAAATTGGACCCCTGAAGTAGAGTGAGAAGGTGAAACATTGATTTAGTTTCTTCAACTTCATTGCAGCCCATATCAGCTCGATCATTATTGGCTAATTCTGCCTGCCACAGCGACCACCTAACCCAAAAAATAGCACACGAACCAAAATCACTTATTAAAGCAAAACATATCGACACATGTGGGATCCTTTCATGGATAATTCTAGAGATCTCTTTTGCTCCAACACTTATACATGATTGTTGCTATTCTGAACAAAGTGTTGCAATGAATTGGTTTTCCCAACTGTTGTGTCCTGCATGGGATTTCAGTTTCTGATCAGGACTAAATGTGAGCAATGGCATTTCAAAGTTTACTATCCAGGATGAATTTTCTTACATGCTGGAGGCTCATATGACATTATCTATGGAGTGTCTCCTACATACAAAATTTATATTGAAAATAGGGTTATATCATATATGTACACACATTGCGTAGCATCTCCAACACCATTGTCAGAGTTGGCAGAAGTGTATTTATGAAACCTGAACAACATTCAACAACCACTCTATGCCATCAATGGCACAAGCCATCCCATGTTTGATAGAAAAGGTCTCCACTTCAATTAATGGAATTGAGCAAATCTGTTTCAGTGATGCACTTGGCTAGACTGTTGAAAGGGTTGTCTTCTCCATTGTAGCATGAAGTCTAGTTTTCTTAAACTATAACCATACACACAAACCATGGTAACTTCACACATGCGCCAACATAACAAATGATAAAAGTTGGCATGCAATTAATCAAGATTTTGTGGGAACTTAAATGAGATGTTTTTGAGTTTCAAGGGGGACTAAGAATGGGGACAATTTTGAAGATGCGGTAGAGTTGGGTGAGCAGTCACTGTATTTTCAGCATGAAATCCCCGATATACACTTAAACCACCACCTTTTATCATGGTAAGACTTTTTCAGTACAAGTGACTCTTGTTGAAAACCTGTGTAGTGACTGCTGACTATTATTCCCCTTACAGTTTTACTGTTAGTTTAATAGGATGAGAGTAGGGTGAAAGGATTATACGAAAAAGATAAAAGAGGAAATTAACTGCAAAATGTAAATATTAATGAGAGAAGGCGGTGGCAGCTTACCTCCTTGTAGTTTTCCTGTTTAGTTTATTAATAAGAGTGAGGTGAAAGGATTTATACGAGAATATAATTAAAAGGATTGAAAAAAGGAACTTGGATGCAAAATGTAAATGTAAGTAAGAGAAGACAGTTGCATAATGAAGATGAAAGAAAGGCAGTTGCCTGAGATGCATTTTGTGTTAACTTTTTCTCTGTTGAAGATGACAAATATTTACAATGAGTCCCCTCTTTTCTTAATATGTTCTCGATATTTTATCTGTATAACATGTAGTATAACATTTTGAAAATTGATCCATAGATACTTTCAGTATTATAGATGGTATTCATTTCTTCAAGAGTAGTATATGAGAATTGAGCATATGCTTGTGATTAGTGGTCTGCATGATAGAGTAGTCATAGATGTCATGCAGTGCTGCTAAAAATAGAGTTTATGCACTCTTGAGTTTTAAATGCACGTGAACAGGACACTCGGACCAAAATTATTTTTTAGAAAATAGAGTTACATAGTAAGCTAGTGATTGCATTTGAAAGCATTAGCTAGAACCATTATATCTGATGACATTTAATAAAGATACTCTTATTTTAACAGCCTATTCTGGAAATAATCCAGTAAGCACATTGTTGATCTTGGTTTTATTTGGAAAGCAGTAAAATTTGTGGCTTCAAAGCTCTGCATGTATCTTCAATTGAAGCTTCATAACAGTGTAATTCTTCTTTGCCTGTACTTTCAAATGATAAACAACTTTGTTAAAATGAAGAAGGAAAATGAGGAAAGGAACGCCAAGCAATATATAAAATTGTTGTTCTGATCCCTGTGCTGATATAAGTTGCCTTGTCTCTATGCACCTTGAAAGAATAGAATATTTGTTACATCTTGTAGACTAGTGCTTATGCTGTTCCTGCTGCTGCTTTTTCTATGGAGTAGCTTATTTTATGTTTTACTTATACTGGGCTCTTTTCTCATTCTCAGCACTGGCTTGGCATCCGTTCCATGAGGAGTATTTTGTTAGCGGGAGTTTTGATGGATCAATCTTCCACTGGCTAGTAGGGTAATATGTTTTTCTATGCAATATTTCTTAGCTGTTTTACTATACTTCTTGGTTCCATTTTATAAGGCTCCTTTCCTTTTTGGACTATCTAGGAAGCTCAGAGAAGTTTGAACACTTGCCATTTCTATTTTAGGTTCCAATACTTACAGTTGTCCAACTTGAATGTGGAAGATTTGTTAGCCACCTAAATGAGAAAAAGCTTAAGGCCCCATTGCTCGTCCCAAAATCAACCCTTGTGCCCTCTGTCATTACACCCCATCCCATCTCTATTTCGGTTGAAATTTGTTTAAACAGCCTTTGATGCAATGGTATCTAATGCCAGTTCCCTACTACTATAATCATGCGAACCTCTGTTGACATAACCCCAGCAAAACCCAACCCAAAGAAACTGGAAGCTCTGCCACAAACAAGTAGGGTTGTAATGCCATATGCTAGATCATATTCGTCCAGTTATGAAACCAGTATCTTAGTAGTAGGTCATAAAACTAAATCCTGGTTTGATAAATATGTTGTTTGATATTTTAGTCCTGGCTTGGACTTGTTAATTGTTTTAATTATACATCAACAAGATCCTTATGCAAGAAGTTCATGATCAACTTCTTACCTGTGATATTGCACAGGCATGAAACTCCACAAATCGAAATTCCAAATGCACATGATAGCTGTGTCTGGGACCTTGCATGGCATCCCATTGGCTATCTTCTTTGCAGGTAAGTCACTGATTACCTGCTTCTTCCAGTTTGTTTTTTGAACTCTATTTTAAGTTGTATTTTTAGACAACTCTAGCATGTGTTACTTTGTTGCTTTTTTGTCTAGTTCGTCATCTCCTTGGACATTTCTGGATCTGCCATAAGGTCTCATAGGGTAGGCCTTACATAGTGAGATTGATTTCCCAACATCTTTCCTTGTCTTTTAGGGCTATTAAAGATCAGCAGTTTTTTCTGACATTCAATAGGGTAGGATGTGCCTTTTAGGGCCATTATGGTTTGTACTTTAGGGGCCATTCCTGATCAAATTTTGCACATCTCTGTCAGCTTCTCCACTCCCTTATGTATAAATATTTTCTTAGTGATCTGTCTCTTTATTTATGTTCTGTTTGCAAAAAATTCTTTTGCACTTGTAGCATTTTTGTTAATTGGAGCAAAAGTGTTATTTCCAGTTGAAGTTAGCTAGTGGCGATAGTATCATCTGTCTGGCCAGACTTTTCCAATTTCCATTACTGAACTCGCTTAATTTCTGATGCAGTGGCAGCAGCGACAACACAACAAAATTTTGGTGCAGAAATAGGCCTGGGGATCCAGCTCGTGATAAATTCAACATGGGCCATAATCAAGGTTTGTGCTTACATTGCCCTTATAAGTTGTCTAGTGGACCCCACTAATGTACTTCTCTAGATAGGTCCATCTTTAGAGGTCTATAGATCAGTTTGGTGCTGCACATCAGGATTTATCTAGTTTTGAACATGATGGAACTTCCAGATGCCTTCTATTCTTTACAGTCTATTTCTAACATTCCTAGATAAAGCCAAATAATTTCTCAATGTTAGTAAAGAGATGTCACTTACTCCCTTCTTCTTCCTCTGTTTACAAATTTAAACAGGGTACAACGACCAAAATTCTGCTCTTGCTGGCCGCATGCCTGTTAATTTTCCTGGACCTGAGCCACCAACTACTCCTGGACCATTTGCTGGATTGAATCGGAATGAAGGTACTATTCCTGGGATCGGAGTGGCAATGCCTTTGTCTCTAGATGCATCAACACAGGGAGAGCAAAAACCACCCATATCCTCGTCAATGCCATTAGGGGCTCCTCCTTTACCACCCGGTCCACATCCATCTCTTTTTGCAGTTAATCAGCAGCAAAATTATCAACAGAATGCTCAGCAAGCCCAGCACCACCACCAAGGGCATCAACAGCAAATGACATCCCTGCAGCCACCAAATATGCAACAGTTACAACATCAAACTCATATGCCACTTCTGCCACACCCTCATTTGCCTCGGCCTCCACCCCAGTTACCTCCTCATAACATGCCATCTTCAATGCAAGGATCTATGCCCATGCATGGTCAAATGGTAATTTTTAAGCAATTACACTTGTCATTGCTTTTAAGATTTCATTTAAAACAAACTCATATTGGTGATGGTTACTTCTCCAACTACTCTTTTTATCCCAGAGTAATGCAAAATTTGACTATTGATTAAATGTCTAAAATTTGTGGAGTGAAATTTTGTTACCGAGTTTAAATAATGATTACTAATGGGTAGAAAAATTAGGTTTTTGAACTATCCGAAGAAGTGAATATTTAGGGAGAACCCAAACTGGATTTTAAGGGATGGAGTAAAATATGTGTTCTTAATTTCATTGTTAAAAATATAGTGATGGAGGAAGAGTATAAGATGACAGATCTTAAGGATACCAGAGGGTTCATTCTTTCTCTACATTTATGAAAGCATGGAATGCCTAATTTTTCTAGATCATAGCAATATCAAAGGTGTGGCAACACACGTCCGGAGAAACATTGGAGAATAAATCCCATGTCTTCATGGCGGTTAGAAGTTTTACATGGCCTTGTCTGAAGACTATGGGATAATTAAAGAAAAAAAGAAAATTCTGCTTACCTGACTTCAGTCATTTTGATTTTCCTCTATTAGCAGAGTTAATAGCATCATTTCATGCCAAAATGAGAAGCAGTTTCTGAGACATGACTGTTTGTTTTGAGCAGAAAAGGCAGTGATCATTTTTGTGATATGTTGAATTGGACTTCTTTAAAAAAAAAATTAATCACCCTGCATGTGGATCTAATTAGTAGTAAAATTCTTGTTGGCTGACAATTATCTTCACATTGGTGGGATGCAGGGCACAATGAATCAGATGGGACCGCCTATGCAGCAAGGCCATTTTATGGGCATGAATCCTATGCATTCGGGACCTGGAGGTGCACCACCAGGTGGCATTCCAAATATGCAGGGCCCATCAAGTGCGAGTGGGAACCAGATGTATCCATCAGGGGGTGCATTTAATCGACCTCAAGGTGCGCAGATGCCCCCAATGCCAGGACTAGGTCCTTATCAGGTAAGAGATTTTCTTTATGAGATATGCTGCTTATATGTCATCCCTTCTTTACTGTGGGGTTTACAATGAGGCCTAGTTATTAATGCTTACGTATGTGAGCATAACAGTCCGGATATTGACATTAGTGTAGTTTGTAGGTCTTTCCTGGTTGTGAAACAGAAGTTCGTTATGATCAATGGTCAATGTATTTGTTGCTTGTTGCTGCATAAGTTATACGAGGCCCAATTGTTTGTCTTTACGTGTTCACTAATGCCTTCTAATATTGTGACATGTGAGGACTATTTAGATCTTGTTTTTGTTTGAAGATGATGATTCTTTTGTAAATATAAGCGAAATGAAAACCATATTGGTTTGCATATTCTATACATAGAAATTACTAGTAATATTCGTTTCCTATGTCTATATGAAAGCCATGGAGTAGTCACAAGGTGTCATCCTATGTTTTTCCAGAGCCTGAGGAATAGCAAAAACCTAACCCAAGCTGAAGCTTCTTTCTGAAACTCAAAGTCAAGAACATGGTCCACATATACTGGTATTGCATCAGATTATTTCAATAACAGCATATGGCTCTGAAACCATAAAAAATACAGGACTTAAGGAGTGTGTCCATGCTATAAAATATATAGGGAAACCGTCTGCACACCAACTACGCCTACTACACACAATCGAGTGCATGTTCTAATGTGCATTTTTCATCCTCTTCCATTTCAACCATCAGCTAAAGCGTATCTCCACACCTCAATACAGTTGTGCACAGAGATAGATATAGCTTCCAACCAAGGGGTCATTGGCTCAACAGTACCGGTATCCCAAATTCCTTGGAGGTCAAGAGTTCAACTGTATGTGTGAGTTTGCCATATATAAAAAATATTATATACTTCAAAAAAGAAGATATATTCCAGGGTGAGAGAAATAACCGCTCTCTATCCTTCGGGTAAAGGCATGTCTGCGTACATGCGACCTCCTAGACCCTGCTCTCGAGTGGGATACACTGTGGTCGTTTTGGTTTGGTTTTGATGAAAGAGAAAGAGATGATGCAGGGCAGCAGGACACTAAAAGGGTATGGAGATATAGGTGGATGAATTTTTTCCTGCATAAGCTCCAACAGAAACCTATATGATTGTAACCGTGTATAGCCTTTGCCCGAACAAGTACTAGCCGAGTCTCTTGAATTAGTACCTGTGGATTCAAGACTCAGCGGTAACTGGAAGCGTGTATTTCAACTGGTGTAAAATAAATATCCCTCCGTCCCAAAGTAAGTGTCCACATGTCTATTTTTAGTTTTGAAATTCCTTGGGGAGTTATACATTTGCGTGGAACGCATTAGCTGTCCGCTGTCAGGTTGGGCAGTAAGGTTGGAGAAGGGCAATCACTCATTCTTAAAACCAGCGTTATGTCCCAAAATAAGTGTCTATTTGTTGATTTTAATCTGTCCCAAAATAAGTGTCCACTTTCAGTAGCAAGTGTCCACTTTCAGTAGCAAGTGTCCACTTTCAATAGCAAGTGTCTACTTCACAACTCTACCCAAATTATGAGATGGAGAATTTTCTTGCCCTCTTTATTATTAAAGATAAAGTTGTCATTACTTAATAAAAAAGTGTAATAGTTACATATTTCTAGAACTATGCCTTTTTCTTTGTGGGCATTTATGTGGTAGAGTAATGAGGAGAATGATACTATAGCCCACAACCTGTGGACTTGTAGAGAACCAGCTGGAGTCTAGTCAACTTGTAGCAACAGTCGGGATATTGTAGTCATACCGTTTATATTAAGCTCTTGCAAAATGAAAGAAGGGTTTGTTTGCCTCCTATCCTACATTGCTTATTGTCGATTAGATTTTGTTACATACAAAAAGAAGTATTGTTTTATAATGATATCTGCTGACATGATTTTGGTTTTCATGGTGCAGCCAGGGAATCCAAGTGGTACTGGCATGGGACCTAATTTCAGTATGCCTTCTGGTATTGTTCCACCGCTGCCTCCTGGCCCCCCACCACATGGACAAACACCTCAGTAGGACTTATATGTACATTTCGTTGCGTTTGTTCCTTCTGATCGATTTTCCTTTCTTTCTTTATCATTTTTTCCGGAAAAAAGGTAGGTGGGGGTGTTGTTAAGCAAAAGAATGGAAAACAAGTCTCCAAAATTTCGTTGGTTGGGAATTAAGCTTCTTTCATTGAGTTCTACATGTAGCCTGTAGATTACTTGACTTCACAGCTACCAGTTTCTCTTGTTGATGAATCTTGAAGTGTATTTCTATGCAGGTGTAAGTCTTAAAAAATGAACGAGTGAGCTTTGTATTTCATTCCGTTTGAACTACTTGATTGGTAACCTATTTTCATGTAGACAAATATATCATAGATATTTTTAATTCATCATCTATCAATTGGGGTCCTGCACCACACACCTAGATGAAGTCAAAGTAATGTAATATATCAGCAAACCCAGATTGTGAATCGGGTGTAGCAGCTGCTGAGATTGGTTCGTGAAATGTGGTCGAATAATCTATCTTATATTTGCAGGTTTGATCATAGTGATCAATTAGATATCTATAGATTTCGCATTGCAAAGGTAAGAGAATGTTATCTTTTGTTAACAAGAGTCTACACTTTTAGATCTTACATGACAGACTGAAACCAGATCAGTGGTCTGGCTTATGGGCCGTTAATCAAGTGCTTACCCGGTAAGCATTTATTGTTCCATTTACCTTACTGGATGAACATGACAATTGACAAGGATATAAAATCTTGCCCAATAAAAACGAAGATAAGGACGGCGATTCTTACCCGGAAAGTAAGGGTGACTGCTATTTTTTTGGAAGGGTGTCCCAGGCATAGCCTGGATTGGCAAATTATGACCATAAGAAATCAATCTTGATAAACTCAATGACCACAATTGTTGTGTATGTCTGGAATCGAATCTTGGGTAGATGGGATATTCCATCACATCCCTAGGACCTTAACCACTGTGTCACAACCCATTCGTTGAGGATAAATTGTTGCATACGCTGTCATTTTGATTAGAATCTTACTCGTTAAGATAAGTGAGGGTGTTAACTCTTGTTGGTAAACGCTTACCTTGGATAAATGTTTGGGTAAACAACCCCTTAGTCTGGGAACGTCTTTTTGGTCTTGGGCTAGTCGGGTCTAGAAAACGTTTGGATTTGTTCATTAAAAAAACTAGTTGTTTACCTACTACAATGCAACGGAATGTAAAATTTTATGAGTTATTTATCATTTTGTCTATCTCCATGTTGGGATGGTTTTTTACCACTTCATTTTCCTAACTATGAATGCATGTTATTGTTTTGATGCATCATAACTTTCTTTATCTATTCTCATTGCGTTAGAATTAATACCTGAAAGGAGAAGAATAGATCACTTTGACTGTTTACATAAATCATTTGATGTCAAATTTTGAGAACCTAAAACCCCACAACCTCATTAAATTCCTTGGTCACACAAACAGTGCAACCGTACTAAGCAAATGAATTAGAGAAAATATTTTGTTTACAACTAATAACAAATTTAATCAGAAAACTGACAGAAGTATTGGTGGCCAGATTACATAGCGGCAAAGTTGAGCTCTACTTATTCTGTTAAGGTTAATCTCAACAATGAATGCTCATCTTTCCTGTTTTAACCTCATATATAAAAACATAAATCAAAATCAACAAAGGAAAAAAGAGTAAAAGACGTGGAATGTAACCAAAATAGAGAGAGATAGAGAACATAATCGATAGTGGTAGGACTTAAAATTGTAAAACAATAGTGTAACAAATTTTTTGCATTAGTTGCTACAACTCCATAAGATGATGCAGATGGACTCGGGTAAGAATTCGTCTCATTTTCCCTCTTTAAGGTTCCCATGTAATCCATCAGATTCTAAAAGAGTATTCATAAAACTAATTAATAATCAAGTTTCCATGGAACCAAACAAATAACGACTTCTCAAAATTGTAATACTCCTATACCAGAAGAGTTAATCTGAGTTGAACCACCACGTTCGGTGTAATGGTCTATAAAACTTCTAGCGCCACGATTGAAAGTGCTACCACCACCACCACAAGGCCAAGATTGTCTCATATCCTTATATTGAGTGCAAATAAAAGCAAAAATAAACTACTCAAATGAGAAATTTAATAGCACATCGAATCTTGTAGAACCTTTGAACAACCAAAAACAATGTATCATAAGACAACTCAACTGATGACACATAAGAAATTTACATAAAAAATTATATACACCATGAGTGCAAGACACGTTCAAACAAACATGTAATACTTGACTGGTTTGTTTAAGTATTTTGTACATTATTGTTATAGTAAATAATTAAAAAAAATAAAAAAAAAGTAATGCAAATATAGATGTTGGAGGGGTCTTTTATCTCATGGCATATTGTTTGATTTTGCTAGTAATTTAAGTAAAATGATGTGTTAATTTTTAACTTTAATGGTGTAAATTGTTTTTTATTTCTCAAAGTACCTAAAAACTTGGTCAGATCATGTAATTGGTATTGATTTGTCTTCTAGCATCTTTATTGTCTGAAACAAATTCAAAGAAGAATGATATGAATCCAAACAAAAAATGTCACATGATATTGAATCCATACCAAGATAGATAAATATCAAAACCATAAAAATGTCACTCTGTACGAAAAATTATAAGAGTTGATACCTTAAGTTTTTGATCTAGGAGCAATGCTCCTTAGGCACACCCCTCTTTTGCCATATCCTTCTATCGATAGGTGTTAAAAAAATTGTTGGACCGCCCAACCAGTCAAACCAAGTCAAGTTATACCGTTTTTGGCGGTTTGAGTGGTTTCGCGGCCTCGTCCGGTTCAATCCAAAAAATAGCCAAACCGCTTGGTCTGGTCCAGTTTGCGATTTGAGCGTTTTTTTGAACGGTTTGGACCAAATCGACCATCATAATACACATGTACAAATTATATTTAGTTTTGATGCTGTAGACTTAATTTTATCCTCCAATTTAAAGAATCGTTCCAGATATGAAGTTTTTAATTTTCACTTCTCAATTGTCCGCATTCCCCAAATCTAACAAAATTCCAAAATCTGTCAAAAATCAAAACTTAAAATTCTTAACCGTTTTTCGACTTGCTCTATGTTTATCTAAAATTCCGACTATTGTAAAAGTCAAACACCTCATTGCCAAATAATGATCCGCATACCTGGATTTGAAGAATAATAGGGCTGTAGGAGTATGAGTACCAGAGATTACACAGCTCGATCACATAGTTGGGTAATTAGGTTAAAAATCTAATCATCTGGATTACATTGAATATCAGACACAACAATCCAACACGAGAGGGGTTGGTGCTGTGGAAACTTTGAGGAGATTGAATGTAGAGATGGAGATGAATCTTGATCATTTCCATTGAAACCATGATTAATAACATCTTGATGTGAAAGCCGTTAGATTTTCTCTACATCGGAGCAATCTAGGTGTCATCTCGTTCCCCTAACTTGATATGGTGACAAAGAGAGGTTATACCAAAAAGAATAGGCTGAGAAGAGGAGCGGGACGTGGAGAGAATTGAGGGTGGGAAGTCGAAAAGGAAGGGATCAAGGGGGTGCGGGGTTTCACTTAGCATGTTCTATAATATATATATATATATATATATATATATATAGAGAGAGAGAGAGAGAGAGAGAGAGAAAAAGAAGCGTTCAAATAAAAACCGGCCCCATTTGT